AATATTGAAACCAAGATAACAGGGTTTCCCAAGGAAACAGCTGACCAAATCACTCTGTAGTAAAGACCACAGTAGCAAACGCAGAGTTTCCAAGGAACTTTTTAGTAACCAGGATCTTAAATATGAGCAGACAGTCAAGGTTCTCCATATACTTGAAGAAAGCCTCTCAAATGAATGATAGAGACCCAAATAAATGAGCAGAAAGCAACTTGGAAGGGTAGAGAGCAGAGGGCGGTAGACGGGGTTGGTGGGAGAAGGAGGAGGCAGCGGGGAATCACTTATAAATGGTGCTAGAGCAGCACCTGAAGCCTAAATTCCGGGAGGGTGAGTGTGCTGTGCTGTCATGGACCTCTCCTTTACGAAGCAAAGTGTGTAAAGGTTGCCATAAAGGACAAACAAGTGAAATACTTTATACATTGCAGTGGGTGGAATACAAATTGGGATGAATGGGTTCCAGAAAGCAGAGTACTCAAATACGTGAACACCAATCTGCAGAAACAGCAAGAACTTCAAAAAGCCAGTCAGGAGCAATATGCAGAGGGGAGGATGAGAGGGGCTGCCCCAGGAAAGAAGACATCTGGTCTGCAACAGAAAACTGTTGAAGTGAAAACAAAAAAAAGCACAAGCAGAAAACACCTGGAAATGGAGATGGCGGCAGTACCAGTGAGAAACCTCAGCCTCCTCGCAAGAAAAGGGCCCGAGTAGATTCTACTGCCGAAAACGAGGAAACGTTCATGAACGGAGTTGAAGTTAAAGTCAGGATACCTGAAGAACTAAAACCGTGGCTCGTGGGTGACTGGGAGTTAATTACCCTGTGAAAACAGCTTTTTTGTCTTCCTGCCAAGAATGTGGATTCCATCCTAGAGGATTATGCAAATTATAAGAAATCTCGAGGAAACACAGACAGTAAGGAGTATGCTGTTAATGACGCTGTGGCAGGGATAAAGGAATACTTCAATGTAATGTTGGGCACTCAGCTACTCTCAAATTTGAGAGACCACAGTATGCTGAAATCCTCGCAGATCACCCTCATGCACCCATTCTCAGGTGTATGGAGCGCCACATTGACTGAGATTATTTGTACAAATTGGAGTGATGTTGGCCTATACACCTCTGGATGAGAAAAGCCTTGCTTTATTACTGAACTATCTTCATGATTTCCTCAAATACCTGGCAAAGAATTCTGCAACTTTGTTTAGCCCCAGCAATTATGAAGTGGCTCCTCCTGAGTCCCATCGGAAAGCTGGGTGCGAGGCGCTGACACTCACTTATGTTTGGATCTCTGTAAACACATTTCTGTTCTTAGTCCTCTTGCACAAATGATGTGCTTTGACAATGTTAGTGTATAACAGAATTGGTGTTTGTGTGTTTTCTGTTTGATTTTAAACAGAAAAATAAAAGGGGTACAGCTCAAAAAAAGAAAAGAAAGCAAGCGACTTGGAGGAAACAGACTCTTCAGAGAAGAAAAGAAACCTGTATCTTTTCCATTCTCAAAGGGATAAGAAATGGTATTGCACAGTGAAATGACAACAGGATGCTACATAAAAAAGGAATATTTAGAGCCTAAAAGAAAATCTTTGAAAATCAAAATATAGCAAAAATGGAAATATGATAGCAAAAACAATATAGTTGAGGAAATCTCTCAGCAAAGCAAAAAGACAAAGATACTGAAAATAGGAGAGATAAAGAAAATCAGAGGATCAGTCCAGGAGGTCCAACATTTGACTAATAAAATATTCAGAAAGAGAGAATAGAGAAAACAGAGGGGAGGGGAGGAAATTATTGACGACTTAATTGGAGAAAATTGGAGAACTTGACATCAGATTGATAAGGACCACTGACTGTTCTGTGTCTTTTATGGGTGGCACTTACGTGGGTATTTGCTTTACAATAATTCATTAAACTGTGTATTTAAGAATTTATGGAATATGTACTTTTCTGTGTATGTGTTATATTTCACAGTATTTTTTGTGTGTGTGAGGAAGATTGGCTCTGAGCTAACATCTGTTGCCAATCCTCCTCTTTTTGCTGAGGAAGACTGGCTCTGAGCTAACATCTGTGCCCATCTTCCTCTATTTTGTATATGGGACGCCGCCATACATGGCTTGATGAGCAGTGCATTGGTCCACACCTGGGATTTGAACTTGTGAACCCCGGCTGCCAAAGCGCAGCACACAAACTTAACTGCTGTGCCACCGGGCTGGCTCCAGTATTTTTTAAAGTTAAGGGAAAAAAAAACAAAAGGAAAGGCTCACCAAGTGCCCAACACAATGAGTCAAAATAGACCCAAATCATGACATATCATAAAATTTCAGGATACTGAGGTCAAAAGATCCTATAAGCTTCCAGAGAGAAAAGAAAGAAACAGGTTTCAGACAAAGGATGAATTTGAGAATTAGAATGGCACTGTACTTCTCAACAGCAACTCTAAAAGCTGAAAGAGAATGGAGCAATGCCTTTATAAATTTTATTTATTTATTTATTTATTTATTTATTTATTTATTTATTTTTCCCCCCAAAGTCCCAGTAGATAGTTGTATGTCATAGTTGCACAGCCTTGTAGTTGCTGTATGTGGGACGAGGCCTCAGCATGGCAGGAGAAGTGGTGCGTCGGTGCACGCCCGGGGTTCGCACGCCCGGGATCCGAACCCCGGGCCGCCAGCAGCAGAGCGCATGCACTCAACCGCTAAGCCACGGGGCCGGCCCAAGCAATGCCTTTAAAATTCTGAGGGAAAATTATTTCTAACCTAGAATTCTATCCCTGGCTATGTTCTTAATAAAATATTAGGTGAGAATAAAAACATTTTCAGACATAGTCTCTAAAAATTACTTCCTGGGGCTGGCCCCATGGCCTAGTGGTTAAGTTCAGCACACTCTGCTTCGGCAGCCCAGGTTTGGTTCCCAGGCCTTGACGTACACCACTTGTTGGCGGCCACGCTGTGGTGGTGACCCACATATAAAATAGAGGAAGACTGGCACAGATGTTAGCTCAGTGCTAATCTTCCTCAAGAAAAAAAAAAAGATTGGAACAGATGTTAGCTCAGGGCAAATGTTCCTCAGCAAATAAATAAATAAATAAAAATTACTTCCTATGCATCCTTTTCTAAGGAAGCTACTGGAATAGGATATGATCTTCCACAGTGAGGGAGTAAACCATGCTAGAGGAAGAAGGATCCAGGAAAGAGATCCAGTGTAAGAGAGAGGTAAAGGGAATCCCAGGATTAGGGGGATGGAAAATCCCCAAACTGAAAATGTATCACAGGCCATTGATGATTAATTAGAATAAAAAAGATAAGAAAGAGGGAAGAATCAAGGATTACTTCCAGGGTTCTGGCTTGAACAACTTGGTGAACGAGCATGTAACTAGATAACAAACACCAGAAGAGCAGGTATGAGAACAGTTATGCTTTTGGACACATTGAGTTTGAGCGGAGATGGTGTGTACAAATTTACCTGGGCACGGAATTGACATCTAGGCTAGAAATACAGAGTCAGTGCTGTCAGTGTAAAGAAGGCAACCTAAGTCCCCAGTGTGGAAAAGATCATCCGTAGACAAAGTGTACAATGAAGAGAAAAGAAGGCCTAGGACAGAGTCCTGAAAACTCCCAGATTTAAGGATGGGGCAGAAGACGAGCTGGCAGAGGAGGGGCCAGAGAGACAGGAAGAAGATGAGGAGAAGGTGAGAGTATCATGAAAGCCAACAGAAGAGATTGCTTCAAGAAGGATGGCATGGTCACTAGTCAAGGAAGAAAAGGACTTAAAAGTGTCCAGTGAATTTAGTGACATGGAAGTCACTGGTAACAAGGGCAACAATTTTTCCCTATTAGATTATCAAAGATTAAAAAGATTGATCTTAGGGGGGCCAGGCTGGTGGAATAGTGGTTAAGTTTGTGCGCTCCGCTTTGGCGGCCCGGGGTTCACAGGTTCAGATCCCGGGCGCAGACCTATGCACCGCATATCAAGCCATGCTGTGGCAGGCGTCCCCCGTATAAAGTAGAGGAAGATGGGCACAGATGTTAGCCCAGGGCCAATGTTCCTCAGCAAAAGGGGGGGGATTGGCAACAGATGTTAGCTCAGGGCTAATCTTCCTCACAAAAAAAAACATCTTATAGTTATCAAGCTGTAGAGAAATGGCACTCTCCTACACCACTGGTGGAAATGTAAATGAGCACCATGTTTTTGATAAGCAAATTGGGAATATCCATCAAACATTAAATATATATAACCTCTGATCCAGAGATTCATGTAGATATTTATCCAACAGAAATACTTGTACAAGTGTGCAAAGTAAGTACGAGGATGTTCAGTGCAGCCCTTTATGCAAAATTTGGGGCAGGGGGGAACTACATTGCCCTCAAGAAGAAATGGGATGAATAAATGTAATTAAATGTATCCAGTGGATGCCTATGCAGTTGCTCATAAATGAAGTAGATAGGACTGTATATGGTATCCACAACATAGTAAGTGAAAAAGCAGTATATATAGTCTCCATGTTTCTAAAATATTTATATACATTCACATTACAATATAATGACAATATAAATATATGTTTGTAAAGGCATAGATAAAAAGACAAAAATATAAAAACTGTTAGAGGTAGAGTCTATGAAATGGGATGGGAGGGCAAAGGAGGGCTTTCACTTTTCTGCTAGTTGGATTTTTTTTTAAGAATGTATTATTTTTGGGCCGGCCCCATGGCTTAGCGGTTAAGTGTGCGCGCTCCGCTGCTGGCGGCCCGGGTTCGGATCCTGGGTGCACACTGATACACCGCTTCTCCAGCCATGCTGAGGCCACGTCCCACATACAGCAACTAGAAGGATGTGCAACTATGACATACAACTGTCTACTGGGGCTTTGGGAGGGGGGAATAAATAAATAAAATCTTAAAAAAAAAAAGAATGTATTTTTATAAATTTTTAAAGATAACATGAAAGAGAAAAAGAATTTGCTAAGACAACAGTGTGGGAGAAATTAGAATGGCCAGCTGTCTGAGACCTTACCTTTTCTGCAGTAGGTTCTTGGCATAGGCTTTGCTGACAAAATCTAGTAGTTGAAATTTAGGGCAAGATGCTCCATCTTTCCCACAGTCTTCGAAGTGCGCAGAGAGGAACTGTTCACTCAGAAGCTGCAGCACTTGTGCGTGAGGCATGTCCTTGACCGTGCAGAGATTTAGGGCTGCATAGAACACTCCCTCCAACCACTTGACATTGAGGATAATCCCCCCTACACATCAGTGAGAAGGGACATCCCAGTTAGCACCACCAGTAAAGTTTGCAGGGAACCTAGGATGAACCCCAGATGGTGAACAGCCACCTTTTTTCCAAGACAGGTTGCTCGTCTGAACCTCAAGATAAGCAGGCACTCCTCTTTCCTGGGCCAAGACCCCTGTTTGTGCCCTTTATAACACAGCATGTGTTGACCCTGCCATGGGAGGACAGGTATGACTAATGCAGACATTGCTCATGGCAGAAGCATCTCTAGAAATCTCTAGAAAGGTCCTTCTCAAGATGAAGGGACTAGGGAAAACTGCAAGATTAGAGCAGGGAAAAGCCATATTAGTCCCAGACACTACATCCTCCTGTTTAAATCAGCTCTCTCCTCTGGTTGTTTCCAGTTCATCCTTAAGGGGTCGGAATAATGAGACTTCTCAGCTTTCCCTAATAAAGCCTGCTTTTTGCCACCAAAGCTGTTCCCGTACAAAACCTAAATAACTGAGAATGTATCTAACTTATACTTTCCCCTCACACCCTCCAACACACACACACACAGGGATTTAATAAGCTAGCAACAGGCCAAGAAGAGGGTAATTTTCAGAAGGATGCCAAAAATACGGTGAGCCATTACCAGCAGGACTGTAGGGGCAGGTAGCCTGAAGAATTGCAGGATCTTGGAGAGCAGCTGTGATGTCCTTATTGGCCCCCCAGATGTTGACAAAATCTTCACCACACTGATACTGAGGCCGCAAGATATTGGTGTGGTTCAGTAGGAGTTTCAACCTGAAAGTAAAGCCACCAAGACAGGGAGTGCGGGGCCAGGACTGGAATAAACCGCCACATAATCCACTGAGTTCCCATCCAACCCAACGACAGACGCCTGTGCACGGCTCTGCTCCCAGGCAAATGCGGGTGTGGGTCAGCGCTGAGGGTACTGCTTGTTATGGGATGGTTCAGCCATCCACCCAACAAACACTTACTGAATGTTATCATGTGCCTGGCACTGGGCTAGACACCAGGGGTATAAAAACAATTTTTGACACGTGCTCTCAGTCACTTTTCATGCTCTTGACTGGTGGTTTCCCTTCTCGTTGATGCTCAAGGGGAACATGAATCAGCTTCCAGTAGTGGGAAGCAATGCTCTATTGCAGTTATAAACATTTGCACATCAAAGAAAATGTCCCACCCACAAGTACTGTTTGTGGAGAAGTGGGGAAGACACAATTAGAAACGGTGGCTGGGCCCTTCTGCTGATGAAGCTGCTTCCACCTTATGACTGGGAATGACCAACTCCAAGAGGTAGGGGCTGGGTTGGAGGCGGGAGGCAGAAGCCAGAGATGAGGAGACAGCAGTTCTGCGAGTTCTGTGCTCACCCTAACAAGATACCTGGGTATGGGGACGGCAGCTACAAAGCTGTACACAATACAGGCTTTGTCCAGACTGGTTTGAATTTCCACGCAGATGTTAGGCAGCTGAGATGGCAGGCAGCAGAGGAATATCACGTTGGCCCAGGCCACCAGAGAAGAGTTATGGTAGAAGCACTGGACTCCCAGTTTCTGGAACTCAGCTGGAGAGAGAAAGGAAGACGAAGATCACAGTACACAGGAGTTTGACCTGAGCATCAACTTTGGGGAGAAGATGACAATGCTTTTATCTCAAGTCTTGTCTCCACATCAATCAGAAGAGATTCCTCATGCCTCCTAAAAGCCACGGAGCAATCCCTAACCCATTACTAAAGCAGCTGGGGCCATCGCAGCAGTGCTTGAGATTACAAGATAATTCCTCATTATCTTACTTTCAGACCAAATGCTAGAATTTTTCAGATTTTTTTTTTAGGAAGAAAAAAATCTTAAAGAAGCCTTCTGCTCCAATTCACTGAAGGATTAACGTGTGGCAGATAATGTACAATGTACTTTACACACGTGATCTAAGGGAATCCTCACAAGGACCTATGAGGCGGAGACTAGTATTATTCCTATATTATAGATGAGGAAGCTGAGGCTTCCAGAAGTTCTGTGACTTGCCCAAAAGTACACAGTTAACTGGCTTAGGTCGGTGGGAAAGACTAAGAGAGTGGAAGGAGTTTGGAAAATTATACTCCTCTGTACAGTTTCAGTAAAGTACACACAATTTAACATTAATAAGATATTTAGAAAAGTAGAGTGAAATGTGATAACTCATGTAGTTGCATGAAAACGCTGACTGGTAGTTAATCATTTGATTGTACTTATTGCAATATGGATTTTCGAAAGTAAAAATGTAGTAAACTCACATATGGTAGTATGTTTTAAGTGTTATTGGAAAACAGAATATTAGACATTGGAGAGGTCAGTTCTTATCATAACTACCAAGAGTACATGATAAACTTGGTGCTGAGGTCACCTGGGTACTCATGAGCCTGGAGGTGGATAGGACAAAGAGGAAGTTGAGAAAACAGGCTCCTCCATGCTTCTTTCAAGTGTTGTTCTCAAAAGTGCATAGAAGCTGATGCTGAGCATTTTGAATTCTTGCTTCCTTACATAATGTGCAGTGATATTCTAAAACTGTAACTTTATTATTAATAAACATATTGCTTCCCAAAGAATATATGCACTGTATTGAAATATCATATATACTAGTCCTATTGATGAGATTTAAGAACTATGCCTTGAGTGGTAAGATTTTTTTTTGTTTCCTTAATATAGAAAGAACATTTACAAATCAATAAGAAAAATAAGGCACTCCAACAGAAAAATTGGACGAAAAGAACTCAAAAAAGATGAAATAGCAATAAACCTATAAAAATATTCATCTCTTCCGGTGATCAATGAAAGACTTGTTAAAATAAGAAAAATTTAAAAGGCATATTAAAATGGTGATAAAAAAAAAAGATTCCAAGAATTGACGAGAGTATAGCAAAATGGGTATTCTTACCCAATGCTGGTGAAAGTTTACACCTAAACAACCTTTTTTGGAGGTCAATTTGAAAACCTATATTAGAAGTTTCTTTGAAAATTAAGTATACCTACCATATGACCCAGCCATTCCACTCACAAGTGTTTACCCAAGAAAAATTAAAGCATTTATCCACGCTAATATTTGTACACAAATGTTCATAGTAGTCAAAAACTGGAAACAACCTGAATGTCGATCAACAGATGAATAAAGTGTGAAATATTCATGCAACGAAATACTACTCAGAAATAAAAAGAGTATCAATACGTGAAACAACATGGATATATCTCAAAATAATCATGCAGAGTGAAAAAAGTCACACCAAAAAAAATACAAACTGAGTGATTCCATTTATATAAAATTTTAGAAAATGCAAACTAATCGGTGGTGACAGAAATCAGATCAGTGGTTTCCTGGGTAGGGGGGCTACAGGGAGGTAGAGAGAAAGAAATTACAAGGAAACTTGGCAGTGAAGGATAAGTTCCTTACCTTGATTGTGCTGATGGTTTCACAGGTGTATACATGTGTCAGAACATCAAATTGTACACTTTAAAAATGTGTAGTTTATTATATACAAATTATATCTTAAGAAAGCTGTACCTATTCTTTGACCTAGTAATTTTATTTTAAAAATTATGTACAAGGAAGTCCAACTACATAAGGCACAGTTACATAAATTATCATACAACCATACTTTGGAATACTATACAACCTTAAAATCATAATTTTGAAGAATGTTAAATTTTATGAGAATATGCTCGTCATACATTAAGTGAAAAAAAGCAGGACACAAACAACTTTGTACAGTATCAATTACTGATATAATCAGAGAAAAAATGGAAAAGAATGATATCCCTGGTAAAGGGATTATAGGTAGTTATTATTTACTTCCCTATAGAGTAATTTTCTAAATTTTCTAAAATATGCATATATTTTAATTTTAAAAATTATTGAAGTATAATTTACATACAGTGCAACACACAGATCTGAAGTATATAGTTTGCTCGTTTTTGACAAATGCATACACCCATGTAACTTATACCTCTCTCAGGATATAGAACATTTCCATCCCCCCAAAAGTTCCCTCTGTCAGTCTCCTCAGCAGCAACCACTGTTCTGATTGCTGATTAGTAAATGGAATCATTACAAAACATTTCTTCAAATTCAGTAAATGTTATTTTTAAAAACACAAGGCCAAATGTTTGGAACTGGTTAACACCCACTAGTTGCTAACTGGTCCAGTTAGAAGATTTGAAGTCTGTTTGGAAAGCTTCTCTGTATCAAAGACCCAGAAAGATATCTCACCACCAAGGACATGGGGAGGAGAGATGGATATAAAACATTTAAGTAGAGAAGAAAGTTGTTTTAGGAACAAGTTAAAGAACCATTTTTCTAGCTAGTTTCAGGGCTAGCAAGCTGAGAACTCAGCAAGCTGCACGCAAGGATTCCTCTTCCAAAGGACCCTTTCAAAATGGCCTCGTCAGTTCCTAAAAAGTACACCCAAGCCCCCTTTCTACCACACACTGCTCCTCACCCAGGGCCTCTGGCCTCCGAGTGGAGATCTGCAGACCTTCAGCAGGGATGGGGACAAGCTGAAGCAGTGCGTGAGCCAGCTGCTTCCCAAGGCGGCCGCCTCCAATGATGCCCGCCCTTAACGCGTCATCATCAGGAGCGTCGTCAAGAGATCCAGTCGAGAGACGTTTGGAAGTTTGTTTCTCATGTAATGATTCTCTGGAGAATGAACACACAGACACATGCATAAAGACACGCACACCCTGTAGCTCTTCTCGCTGTCACCCTCTGACATTCTCTGCTTTAACGTCCTCATATGGTGGTCTGATGGCACCTTAAGTACTTCAGAGATGAGGCATTCCAATTATGTGCCACTTATCCAGCGTCACAAGGGAATGAAATGTTCCTCCTGAGTGAATTTTCCAGAAAGTAGAGCATACTCCTTCAAGGAACCAATACTTGTTTAAAATATTTTTAAATGAGGATTTTTTGGTTACGTGTATTGTGCATTTCCCTGCCTTCTTAAACACAAGGTCTGAATATTTAACCGTTTCGTTGACTCAGGACCATCATTGTGAACAGCCACTATTATACATCCTCTGGGAACACTGTGGGCCTGTTGCTTCATTGTTTGTTTCCTATGCAGACAGCTGTCAATTTTCATTGCCATCAGGATAAGTGCACCCCTCTCCTACCATACACCTACTCTTTTTAGTTTGCTCTTTCAATTCTGCACAGATCTGGGAAACTAGGTAACAGCTTTTTTCTTTTTTAAGATTTTATTTATTTATTTATTTTCCCCGCAAAGCCCCAGTAGATAGTTGTATGTCATAGCTGCACATCCTTCTAGTTGCTGTATGTGGGACGCGGCCTCAGCATGGCCGGAGAAGCGGTGCGTTGGTGCGCGCCCGGGATCCGAACCTGGGCCACCAGCAGCAGAGCGGGCGCACTTAACCGCTAAGCCACAGGGCCAGCCCGGTAACAGCTTTTTTCAAACATTGTGATTTATAAAAGTAAATGGTTTGTATGGGAAAACAGGCCTGAAATTGAAGATCGAGTGTTTGAGGCCACTCTTGCCAGAAGTTCACTTATTGTTGGTTCTGGATATGTTTCCTTGGCCCAAGATGAACAAATTCTGAACACACAAGGCATTGTTTTATGTTATACGACAATTTCACAGTCTGTATTTCTGTAAAAATTGGAGTCTTAAAGCTCTAGAGTTTCCAGATAAGCATCACAAGCCCCATTCTATTTAAGACTTGTCTCTTGGTTGAAAAGAGAGTGTTTTCTTTCAGCGTCTGATCCTTCCAAATATAAAATGCCTCCTGGAAGTTTCATATATTGGTTTCTCACCAGTCATCTTGGATGAAACCAGTAGGTTTATGCATCCTTACCAGTCAGCCAATCAGCAAACTCATTGAACAGCCTGCCTCCTTGCTGTATCTATAACATGTTCAATTCAGATCTGGTCCCACCATCTAGGAGTTGATCTAACTTCAGAGAAAAGTTGACTGAGGTGGGGACAAATGCTCCAGGCATAACCTGGAGTTACAGAATCCAGGATCCATGTCCTAGGTACCTGGCTCTCACATGCCTCCTATTTAAGTGTCTGAAGCCACATTGTACTAAGATATCAGAAGCCAGGGCTAGACTGAGAGCTTCTCTGCAAATCAGTATTCCTGGTTTCAAGCAAGTCACCCGGCCATAGGGACCCCCAGTGTCCCAAGTGGCTTTCCTGTGAGGGAGCATTCCACTATTAGCTCAGCCCGAAAGAAAGAACAAACCTGATTTTCAGCCAATAGCCATGGAAAAGCTAGTCATTGGTAGCTGTGGAAGACAAGCTGGTGGTCCCAATGAGTGAGTGAGTGAATGAATGAATTGATCATTCAATCAATCCACTCACTGAAAGGAAATCACACAAGCCATGCTTTATTACATAACCGCAGCCAAGGGAGCCTGGTATGCATTTCCCTGGTGCTTTCAGGCCAGGAGTGATTGACTGGGGGTTGGAAAATGTAGGAAGACACTCCTCCTGTCAAAGTTATCCTCCAATATAAGAAGTTCAAGCCATTTGGATTCTCCACAGTGAGATTCTTCTCCATCTGCCTGACCCTGGAGACCTAGCTTACCTCAGATTACGGAATAGCTTGCAGAAGAAGGCTGCATGGGCACAGGCCTTGATCATCAGCCCGCGAGAACGGCCCTGCAAATACAGCCAGCAGCGGTCTTCCTCTCGAATCCCATACTCAAACTGCAGGGACTCGAGGTCCTCTAGCATGTCCATTTCCAAGCCACCATCTCCTGCAGCGACAGACACCAATCAATTTGGTTACCTGTCCTGGAAGACGAGGGGGTCTATGCAGGAGGGTGTGTGCCCAGGTCACACGCTCTCATGATGGTGGGCTTCAGCACCTCTCCCTTCCGGTTCTGACTTGCAGCTCTTCTCCCTTTGAGTGAAGTCCTGGAGGATTCTTAAGCACTGACTACCCATGAATCAGGAATACCTGGATTCATGAAAAACCTGAACAAAAGTCCAAAGTAATGTTCGGCTACCGGCACTTTTTTCAGCAGATGCATTGACAGTAGCAATGGGCTTCATAGGTGCTCTTGGGCCAGGACCTTCTTCCTCCCATTCCCTCCTAGGTTTTAGAAATAGGACTGAACACTCAGACCACACTTCAAAGAAATTCTTCCCTCTCACTAAACTCTGTGTTCCCCTCAGGCTAGAAAAGAGCCCAAACTAAACATCATGGTCTCCTGTCTAGGGCAGGGACATCTAGATTTTGGAAAATGAAGCCAGAGATGTGTAAGCCCATCTACATATATCTCTTACCAACCACACTGAGGAGAAGATGCCTACTCCTCAGTCCTTCTGGCCCCGGAGGGTAAGAACTAAATTTCCAGGGAGAATTACCCAAGAAAGTTGTCATTATGACTCCTTAGCTACCAGATTACTTCAGTCTCTGAGTCTTAAAGGGACCAGCCCCACATAGAGGTTTTCCTGACCTGCAACATGAGGACGTGAATTCCTTTCACTACTTCCAGGAGCACTCCACCAGGGCAGTATGGGACCCGCCTTTTCCCAACAAAAGGTTCTGGATTTCTAGATTTTTTGCAGACTGGAATATCAAACAGATCTTAGCACTACTCAAGGAGTTATTTTTCCAACCCCTTCTTTTTGTGTTCAAGAAATCAATGAATAAGATGAATGTGTTCTGGGGATCTAAAGTACAGCATCATGACTGGAATTAATAATACTGTATGGTATACCTGAAATTTGCTAAGAGAGTAGATCTTAAGTGTTCTCACCACACACACACACACAAAAGTAACTATGTGAGGTGAGGATATGTTGATTAACTTGATTGTGGTAATCATTTCACAACGTATATCAAATCATCACGTTGGACACCTTAAATATATACCATTTTTATTTGTCAATTAATACCTCAATAAAGTTGGAAAAAAAGAAATCAAAGATATTCAAAACTAATCTATTTTATAGCAATGGCAAACTTGAGATCAGAATTCAAAACGACTCATCTCTAATCCTCTTTGTAAATTAAAAAAATTTTTTTATCCGGGTGAAATTCACATAACGTAGCCATTTAAAATGAACAATTTAGTACATTCACAATGCTGTGCAACCTCGACCTCTCTCTAGTTCCGAAACATTTTCATTCCCCCTAAAGGAAACCCTATACCAATTAAGCTGTTACAAGAGTGCCCCCTTATCCTCGGGGGATGTGTTCCAGGACCCCCAGTGGATGCCTGAAAGTGTGGATAGTGCCGAATCCTTTTTATAGTACCTTTTTTCCTATAAATACACACCTATGATAAAGTTTAACTTATAAATTAGGCACAGTAAGAGACTAACAATAATAATAAAATAGAACAATTATAACAATATACTGTAATACAAGTTAACATAGAGCTTGGCAACCTCAGCATGCAATCTTTCTTCTCTTGTTAAGTGGAGAACTTTCACCTTTTCGCTTAAAGGGAGCACTTTACAGCTTCTCTTCGGCATATGCAAATTGCCAGCATCACTTCTCTTGCACTTTGGAGACATTAAGTAAAGTAATGGTTACTTGAACACAAGCACTGTGATACCATGACAGTGATCTGATAACAGATGCTACTAAGTGACTAATAGGCAAGTAGTATATACAGCACAGATGCACTGGACAAAGGGGTGATTCACGTCCTGGGCAGGATGGAGCAGGATGGGGCAAGATTTCATCAACTACTCAGAACAGCAAGCAATTTAAAATTTATGAATTATTTCTGGAATTTTCCATTTAATATTTTGGACTTCAGCTGACCGCAGGTAACTGAAACCACAGAAAGCGAAACCACGGATAAGGGGGGATGACTGTACTCCCCATTCCCCACGCCCCCTCAGCCTCTGGCAATCACCATCTGCTGTTTGTCTCTCTCTTACCTTTTCTGGATATTTCATATAAACGGAATCATACAGTATGTGACCTTTCATGTCTGGCTTCTCTAATCCTTTTTATAGGAGGGCTGTTATGTCACCTTCTCAATCTCTCTAAAAGCAGTCTCCAGCACTTGAAGTGAGGCGCATGGAAGTTCTCATCAAGTCTAATAAACACTTCCTTAGACTAAAATGTTCCAAGTCGTAGGGCCAGCCCCGTGGCTTAGCGGTTGGGTGCGTGTGCTCCACTGCTGGCGGCCCGGGTTCGGATCCCAGGCGAGCACCGACGCACCGCTTCTCCGGCCATGCTGAGGCTGCGTCCCACATACAGCAACTAGAAGGATGTGCAGCTATGACATACAACTATCTACTGGGGCTTTGGGGGAATAAATAAATAAATAAATATAATTTAAAATGTTCCAAGTCGTGTTTCCCACTCCGGAGGAAAGAGGAGCTCAAAACCTCCCAGGTCAGCACGACCAACGCAGCACCAGTTACTTGTACCAACGTGGATCCTAGCCCCATCCTTCACTTACGTGTTCTCGAAAATGGGGATCCGGTGGCAGTGGCTTTCTAATACGTCAAGTTAGCTAGGCTAACCTAGATTTTCCAGAATTCCCTTCCCTGTATGTTTCTGGTTAGAGTGCTCCAAAGCAGAGATTTTTGTGCAAGCTCTAGAGGGTGGAAGTGAAGCAGCAGCCACTTTGTATTTATGCGTGCAAGGTTGGGCAGGCACTTTGATTGTCTGTTGGTGACCCTGTTGGTGTGGGGCAGCAGTTGAGCCTGCAACTGCTACACCTTCCCCTGGATCCTCCTGCAGCTTCTCACACTCCTGGGCCAGGGCTGTTCAGCTCTGTGACAAAGGCCACCAGCTAGCTTCTGCAGGACACCCACTTCATCAGGGTTGCAGGCAGTGAGAACTGACACGGATTCTAGTCCATCCCCATGGGCTCCAGCTTGTCCCTGCGCTCCTTCACTTTATATCCATCTTCCCTTCCCCACTGCCTGCCCTCTGGATTTCCAGCTCTGCTGCCAGACTTGAAGGCACCCTTCCAGAGGCTGTTTAACCAACTGCCATACTTGAGTAAGGGCAAATCTCGATAATGAATCCCACATATAGATTAGATAGATAGATAGCACAGATAGACTATATTTACTCCTAGAGATCTGCTTCTCTAAATGAACGCTGATACACTAAATAAAGCTACCACTGTCTGAAGATCAGCCAATAACTTTAGCACAATTTACTAAATTAAGCTCCTATTTCTTTAACAGCAAGAGAGATGATCAAGAAAGGAATCAAATGTGAGGTTACCTGGAATTGCAAAGGGGATTGCAAAGAGGAGGAGCAAAAGTTGGAGTCTGATTCCCTGAAAGCAGTGTTTCTCAGCATTAGCATTACTGACGTTTTGGGAAGGATAATTCTCTGTTGTAGGGGCTGTCCCATGTATTGCAGGATGTTTAGCCACATCCCTTGCCTCTATCCGCTAGATGCCAGTGGCACCATCCAGTTGTGGTAACAAAAAGTGTCTCCAGGGGCTGGCCCGGTGGTGTAGCGGTTAAGTTCGCGCACTCCGCTTCAGCGGCCGGGGGTTCACAGGTTCAGATCTCTGGCCCAGACCTACACACCACTTATCAAGCTACACTGTGGCAGGCGTCCCATATAAAGTAGAGGAAGATGGGCACGGATGTTAGCTCAGGGCCAATCATCTTCCTCAGAAAAAAAGAGGAGGATTGGCATCGGGTGTTAGCTCAGGGCTGATCTTCCTCCCACACACAAAAAAAATTGTCTCCAAGAGCGGGCCTGGTGGCATAGTAGTTAAGTTCGCGCACTCTGCTTTGGCAGCCCAGGGTTTACAGGTTTGGATCCTGGGCACAGACCTACACACCGCTCATCAAGCCACACTGGAGCAGTGTCCCACATACAAAAAATAGAGGACTGGCACAGATGTCAGCTCAGGGCCAATCATCCCCCCCCCCACCAAAAAAAAGTATCTCCAGACAATGACACACGTCTCCTGGAGGGCAAAACTGCCCCCAGTTGAGAACCACATTGCCCTAAAGCATGCTGTGTGCCTCCATATGAGCATCTTCTCTTTTCTTCCTACCACTTCAGCCACTCCACAGTCACAGGAACATAGACAACCTGTGAGAGAAGCATGCCCTCCTATTACAGATGAGGATAATGAGTCCAGAGAGAAAGGGACTCACCCAGCATCACACAGCTTGACAGTGGTAGAGCTGGGACAAGAGGCCAGGTCTTTAGTCTCCCAGCTCAGTGCTCCCTCTGTTAACCACACGGCCCTGCTTTCCCATAAGCACTGTTACTCCAAAACCGGACATGTGTTGACAGGCTGCTGAATGCAGTCACTGAGGCAGACTTGTAGTGGTCCCAAGAGCCAGGGCAATTATTTCATTATTCTGCACAAAACAACCAGGAGAGAAAGAGAAGGCACCAAGGAAGAAACAGCTTTATTAGGAGACTAGGCATGTCCAGGAAACCCAGTTCAGTGACAGAGAAGAGAGGCTAATATTAGTACAGGGCAGGAATTTAACGTTACAGAATCTCCTCTTAAAAACCAAGTGTGAAACTAAAACCTCCATCTTAATATCCTAACAGTCAGAAATGCTGCTGAGTTTAGCCCTGGTGAAACTTCTGGAAGCTCCTAGTGAAATGATGAGATTTGTGCATAAAGGGAGCTCTCCAGCACTGCTGAATCTGAGCTCCATTAAGGTTATGGGTCTAGGGTGGGAGAAGTAGAGGAAAAGATAAGGAGGATGTTCTCATCACCCACACAAGGCCATCAGTGTGCAGGTCAGAGAGGAACTACAAGTTTCTGGACAGAGGGTAGACTAGGGCAGCAGAAGGACGCTGGCTGAAGAAACACAACGTCTGGACAATCTCTGTCCTAACAGGGAGGGCTCTGTGCAGTCTGGGGTGAGGGCGCCTCCAGCAGGTCCTAGCAACACTGGCAGCCCTTCCTGAGGCCCCTGGGAGAGAGCCATTTCTGTTCTGTTCTGACTTTATTTAGAGCAAACTGCCAACGCTCAGCACCAAGTCCAGGGTCATAATCAGCTGAGGGGAATGGAGTGGCCACCCTATGACACCTGTACCTCTTCGTCTAGCAGACTCTTTCTGGAGCAGTCACATTTCTCAGACCAAGAGAGATCTTGCCCAATATGGGCCCAATCTAGAAATCACTCCCACCTTCACGTGAGCACCAGGTGGAGAGAATCCTTCTCATAAGTCAGAGTTTTAGGTCTCAGCCCTTAGTTGGTGGCCTTGGACAGAAGAGCAGTCTGAAACTATCTGTGCCCAGGTGCTGATTTCTGTCCCAAGAGTAAGCAGGTACTGCCTGTTGACGACGGGCCCAAGCGATGTGATGCTGTGACTCTCCCCAAGAAGAGCGCTCTCCACTTTCACAGGTAGGAAAGGAAGAAATGAGACAGGTTTCAGGCTAGCTAACGCCACTTAATTCTTCCATCGAATTTGCTGTAGAAAGAACAAACAATGATCAGTTTTCACTGATCCCTACAGAGAGGGAGAGGGAATGCAATAAAACAAGGCTCACAGCTAGGTAATGTAAGGAAAAGAAGAATGGAGGGGGAGGTGGAGAATTTTTTTTAATATGTGGGGGAGTTCATTTATTCAGAGAGGGATTAAACACCCATGCTGTATCTTAGGGCTGATTTAGGGCATTTATTTTGGTTCTGCCTTCCTTAGCTAGCTTTAGATGACCCTAGGGTAGGTCCCAAAATATCTAATGGGGAACTGAGCTCCATATTAACAAAAAGCTCAGCGATTTCATGCTATGAGAGACAAGCTAGCTGTGCTCCCCAAACAGCTAAAATCTACTTCACCCACACTGTTTTATTTCCCACAGGTAGGTCATATCCAGCCCCAGGAAACTCCTCAGTCTGGATATTCTGAATCTATTTATAACATTTTGTTCTATACTTCCAGTAGTTAGTCCCTCCTACGTGCTATGTTTAACAATTGTCAGAGCATTACAGTTAAGTCTCAGCCTGAGCTCCCCAGATTACCCTTAAATCACCCCACATCTCAGGAGTAATTTCTGCTGTTCCAAGTAGTGCTTTTGACCTTTAGGTCCACAGGAGATCCTTATTTTCATGTGGCTCAGCTAACTGCAATCCCACCCAGACCTTGGGAATATAGACTTGATGCTACTTTGTGAATTGTCTGCCTCCTGAGACTGCTGGAGAGGTAAGCTATAGCTGCTCACCGAGCTGTTGAGAATGGCATCAATCTTCTCCTCCTCTGCAGATCCTTTATCCACCTTACTCCTATATGCTAACAGCTGCTGACGATCCTTCAGGTCCCGGCAAGTCTGTACACCAAAATAGACAAACAACACAAACTCCCAATTAGCCTTCTCTATGAAGCCTTTTCTCTTCTTGTCACTCCCACTTCAAGAAGAGGCCAGGAGGCTATAGTGAAATCAAAGTGAGGTCAAGCCCCCACAGAACTTCATGTTGGAGAGAAGTCTACAGAGCTTCTGTGGCTTGATTTAGTTCTATGAATTCTCCAAGTACAACAAATTTATAAAAGCAGAGAAACCAGTCAGAGGGCTGGGATTATAATACAGGCATGCTGGTCTCCAAACTAACTTTTGCCAGACCATTTTGTCCATTAAGTCAAAATTGACGGCTGTATCTCCGGACTGAGGACAGGGAATAAATCCCCCACTCTTCACTGGGGGTCTAACTCAGGGTTCTTTCTTGGGGACTCACATCAATGACGACATCATGGCACTTGAACTTGGTGGCTAAGTTCAACTTTGTATCCACATCTTCTACCAGATTGACATACTCCTGTAATATCTGTGGGAAGAGGTACTTCTGATTTATGATTCTCAGACCCATAAAACAGAGAGCTCTAAAAGGTAGAAAAAAATTCCTAAAGAAGGCAAAAGAGTTCAATATCTGACATCTACAATTCCCATCATCAACCACAGGATTAGTTCTGCAATGGGAAATGAGGCAGATTCTATGTAGTACTTCCATGCTCCCCCAGTAAAGAAGGGAAGAGCGCATTCCCCCTTATCCTAGAGCTAGATACCCATGCCAGCAATGGGCGTGCTCTAGATCTGACCCAGTGCTGTGCCCATTGCTCCTTGATGTCCCTTCTCAGTGAGCTCTCCTTCTGTGTCACCTGAACAGTATGTCAGTACTCCACACGGGCTAAACACAGTAGACATTCCTCAGAGAGGGCTACCTGGGGTTATTCTACAAGGCAGAGGAGAACTTCCCTCCCTGGCCTTTTCTATCTCAAAGTCCAGTACAGCCATTATGTTGCCTTTAAGATGACACCAGAGCAGGTCAAGTCTGCCATCAGTGACCAGTAAGAGGCTAAAAATTAGGTTTCCAAGAGGATCCTGTACCCAAGTCTCTTTAGGAGCCATTACCTGGACAGGGGCACTGTTCTTGTGCAAAATTTCTACAACTCGATGGAAGCCAATAGGTGCTCTCTTCTTCGTGTAGCCCAGCCAGTTCTGAAAAAGAAGATGGGGCAGCAGCAGCTAGGCCAGACATACTAAACACACTCTGAGCTAGTCTCCCTATATCTTTATGGTCAGAGTAGAATAACACGGTGGTTGAGAGTGGATGATCAGGAGGTGGGCGATAGAGAAATGAAGAGAGATGAGTTTTTCAGAAAAGACAAGGAACTTAAGAGGGTGGAAAAGAGTCAGAGGTATGAAATAAGTTCTTAGATCTATAGACACTAATGCAGAAAAAAGTCTGGTTAAATGAAATAACCAATTTACTTAACAATACTTGCAGTATGAACTTAAATTTGGGTAGAAAAATCCTATCCTCTACATCTTTATATATTACACCATATATAAATATAAAGATGTTTATTTGTAAATTCAAGAGAAAAGGTCTGTTTCTTTGTAAATTCATGAGGAAAGGTCTGGAAAGTTACCAATCAAATTTTTAACAGTGTTTGCTTTGAGGAAGGGAGTGAGATGGGAGCAGGTGGACAATGAAAGAGAACTTCATTCTTTACTCTCTGTATTTTCACACAGTGTCTGATTTTGACACAGGCATGTATTGCTTTGGTAGTTCATGTAGCTAATTAAATAACTAACAAAAGAGAAAAACAAAAAATTCTCAAATCCATAATAGAAAGATGGATATTTAAAATGTAAACCAGTAGAGACATGACAACCAAATGTAATGCAAGATTCTTGATTAAATCCTGATGGCAAACAAACGCAAAACAGCTCTAAAGAGCTAATTTAAATACAGACTATTATCTATGATGATATTATATTAATGTTAAATTTCTTGAGAGTGATAATAATATTGTGGTTATGAACGAGATAAACACTTAAGCATTTAAGGGAGAAGTGTCATGATGTCCGCAACTTACTTTCAAGTGGTTCAGCAAAAGAAAAAGGTGTATTTGCTTTCTCTTTTTCTATACACATGGAGAAAGCATAGAAAAAGAGAAAGCAAATACGGCAAAAATGTTAATAAATTCGTGAAGTAGGTAAGACTATTACTTTTCATTATACTATTCTTTCAACTTTTCTTTAGGTTTGAAATTTTGGAAAATAGAAAGTTGGGGGACAACTGTAAACCAGCAACTAGAACTTAAGACTCCCATGAGGCATGGGATAACAAGACGATAACTCCACGGCATCAGCAGCACGCAACAGTCCAGAGCACCCACCTTTGTGGTAAAGAGGGCATCTACATCTTGCCAGGCTCGAAGCTTGGCACGAGCAGCCAGGGCTGTCAGCACATACTGTTTGTCTGGGATCTAGAAAGCAGAGACCAGGGGAAATTAAAGGGAAGCAGACATGCATCAGGGGAGGTGCTTGAGAATTCTGGAGAAGATGGGCAAAAATATTCCCTGGTGTTGATTCTGCCCCTTACAATCCATAAATCTCTCAGGTCATCAAGAACCCTTCATTTCCAAGCCCCAGCACTGCTGCAGACCATTCAGCTAAGGCCTTCTCTCACTTACCACAAACTCATTCCTTTCTACCTTGAACCTTGCATATCAAGAGACTTACTGTGCAGGGATACAAAGCAACATCCACTCCATGTGGTTACTACTACTTTACCAAACACTGACCAATTTATATCTACCTTAAATGTCTTCTTCAGGTTGACCGGACTGCTGAATGTCCCCTAGGATGAAAGTGGAGAAGGAATTTTAGTGTTACTGACTTTCCCAAATACCACCCAATCTCCCATTTTCTTTTCCATTATCTATACATTCTACATTTCACTCTGTAACCATTTAAACCCAGAAATTAATTTAAGAGAAAAGCTCCAGTGGGTCTACTAGGATATCACCACAATCCAGATTAATGGGACTGGATTAATAAGCATGGTGTATTTCCCAATTTTATGCTAATCCTATGATCGTTATGATCATGTCCACCTATGATCATTAAATTCAAACCTCTTCAAAAAAATTTTTCTAAAAAGTACCCACAGATACCTCACACTCTGCTGTTCTTCTTCTCTACATTGTGCGAATACATTTGAAATTATGGACCTTTGAACAGAGACTGCTATGGGACCAACACTGGTGAGACCGAATGTGCTACACTAGCATGCCGGCTCACTGGAAGCCAAGCAAGCCCTCACAAACCTCTTTTTCCCTCTTGGCCTTCCCCTGCTGAGGACCAGGAAAGCTTCTAGGTGGATTTCTGAGAACTATATGCACCCATTGTTTATAGAGTACATTGAAATACTGGCTTCAAACTAAGTTCCTCTTGTGCAGTGAGGGTGTGTGGGGTCTGTCTTCCACATTTTGCCTGTACCTCAGCCTCCGTGTAATGGTAGAAGCAGGAGTAGAAGAGCGTTGTCACTAATGGCATGTTGAGGATGGAAGCTTTCCGGGGGTGCTTCCGGAAGATCTCAGTCTGTCCTGCTGATTCTAGATGTCGATCATTTGCCTGTGGTGGAGTGAACCAAGTGAAAAAAGAGAACAATGTCCATGGAGCAGAGGCAGGAGAGAAACCTTTAATACTATAGCAGTTGTTTCGTACCCTAGAGGCAAAGAAGACAAAAAGAAAGAAAATTGCCTAGGATAGCCCAAGGGAGTTTAAAATTCATAAAATGATGACAAGGTGGATGGAGGAAGACCAGAGAAGTAGCAATGAAATGGGAGTTCTGGGTTGAAGAGAAATACTTCCAGGTTAAAAGTGGATGAGAAGACAAAGGATGCCTGAGAACAATGGAGGGATGGGGGCTATCATGTAGAGAGAGAAAATGAAAGGCTCTTTAAGAACTGTAATAGGAAATGACATATATGGGCAGAGCATAGAAGTCTCCTAGATGCTGAATGGCACTGAACACTGGCATTGAAGCAGAAAATGTAGAGATGAGGAGTCTAACCTCGATAATGATCTGACGTTCCAGGAGTGTGTAATGGTCCTGTATGTGTGCAGAATCTTCTGCTGAAAATGGCAAACTGACAGACGACCAGAAGGTTAGTACCTCTTTCTTTACTCAATCAGGAAACAAACCCAACTAAACCAAATAACCACTGTAACCATAAGAGGCTCATGGTGAATCACAAATCTGATCTCAATTTACCTTTAGAGCATCCCTGAAAGGCAGAGAGAGAAAGCAGAAAGTAGAGTAGACCTTTGGCTGGGATTTTGTATTTAAGGTTTTGCCAATTCAAGAGGAATCCAGAAAGTCCATAAAATACCTATAGTCATTAGTGATTTTGCTGAGGAATGAATTAGAATCCTCTGACTGTGGAAGTTGGAACGTTTGGTGAATGAGTCACATTAGCTGCTGAGCAGGCTTGGCTGACTGTCCATCATACACATCCCAGTGAAGCACTGTGCTTCATGTCATTGCTCAATATCAATGCTTAACTCTCCTTAAGGGGCACTTATATTTGTTAGCCATTTTTTATTGCAGAGCAATAAGGTAAAATTAAATTATATGTCATGGTGGTATGTTTGTAGATTGGTAAAGGTCTCAAAGGTCTACATAAATGTCAAGGGTCCCATCTTCAATACTACATCATATTGATGAAGATGTTGAGGGACAAACAGTGTCTTGCCTAAAAGTCATATGATAAGTCAATGGCTAAAGGCAGGAACAGAAGCCAGATTTTAAACTCCCAGTTCACAGATCTTATCATTTAGAAAGTGCTGCCTTATTTCCCCTACTCCACTCATTCCAGGAAAATTTCTGAAACTTAATTACACTATCCCAGAGAAGTGTGAGCCACAGCCAATTGTTAGAAGAGATAAAGGGAGACAGCAATAGTTCCAGATATTTCACTATTCTAATTTTTCTCTTTGTTTACCAAAGGCCATATAACATAGCTCAGTATTTGGAACATTAAAATTAAGGATTGCATTGAGAGAGACAAATTTCTAAATGTGAAGCCTAGAAATCATGTCACATGAGGAATGACTGAAACAACTTTGAACACTGACCCTGGAGCAGTAGACCTGGCACTATTGCCATACACCATACTTACTGGGTGGACTCTAGAACTGTCTGGAAAGATCTAGGGAAGCAAGTTTCAGCTCAATTATAAGGAAGCACTTTCCAATAAGGAAGGCTGTCCAACAATAAATGGAGCTACTTCCAAGAGCAGTGAGTGCCCCATCACTGGAAGGATAATATATGGGGCTGGTTTTTACAGGGATTTATATTCTGGATGAAAGCTTGCACTGAATCAGTGGTTCTTCAACTTTCCAGTTTCAAGAACTAGTAACATTGAAAAAAATACATAAGGTAAAGTGTTGCCAATTTTTTATTTTAATATATAAGGTCATAAAAAAAAATTACAACCCATTTTACTACCAAAACAGGGGGATGGGGGGAGGGAAAAACATCCCAGATACAATGCAGTCATTCAAATTAAATAAATTTAGCTTTAGAAAAAAACTCTCTGTGTTGTCTTTATTTTTCTCAGTTTACCACCAATCGGTGAAAACTCTACTGGGGACTAGCATTTGGAACCACTGAATGAGACTATCTTTAATGATGCTTGTATGATCCATTGTTAGCCTTTCCCTTCAACTATCTATCCATTCCACTCTCTTTTAGTCTCTTAATTCCTCTATATAAGAGTATTTTTACTTAAAAACATTTCTTCCCAATACTTACCCAATGCAGGTCTTAAGAAATTCTTTTCGTTTCTCAGGGTCCTGAATGTTCAAGTGCTCTCGATAATGGGATAGCTACGAAAAACAGAGAAAGGTTTTGAGCTCTTTTGCCTCCTTAGAAGAGCAAGGTAGCTCTGTAAGTAGACTTTCCATGCTTAAAAACTAAATTCTTCACTATCAGAGATTTCTTCTGGGTGTGGACTGGGTGAGGGGATGGAGGGAGGGCAAAGAGTGATTCAAGAATCACTCTTTAGTTTATCTATAACTGCAATATATAATACGGTAGCCACTAGCCACATTTGGTTGTTTATATTCAAATTTAAATTAATTAAATAAAAATCTAAAAAGTTCAGGTCCTTAGTTGCACTAGTCACTTTTTATGTGCTCAATAGCTACATGTGACTAGTGGCTACCGTATCAGACAGCACAGACAGAATATTCACATCACCGTAGGAAGTTCTATTGGGCAGTGCTGACCTACAATGAAGCACTAAGTAGACAGAGCACCTTGCTTTACTCGGAAGTTTGGCTTTGGCTTCAGTGCTTAACCAAAACCACCTTTTGCTTCAGTCTTAGCCTTTGAAAGGCCGAAGAGCTAAATGCCTACTTCAACGTTATTTTTTGCATCCTTGACCTTGTACATGATCAATGGTAGCATGATCCTGTAAATATCTGACAATAAACAATGTCAGTAACATGAATACGACATGTCATTCTGATTCACTGTTGATAGCTAAATAATCATATTCAAATACTATAGGTTCCATTTATAACTCCAAAAGAAAACCTTATGTGTTTTCTATTTTGAAAGTAAAAAATGAACTGAAGTTTAAATGATGCGATAATTAATAATTGTGAAGGTTGTAATTTTATATACAATTATTAAAACTTTATAAGAATTAAAAAATAAACAGATTGACA